TCCCTCCTGCTATCAGCTACTTCTCCTCCTCCCCGAGAACCACCCCTCACCCAGCAGCGCCAGTTCCTCACCGGAAACCCCAGGAGATGTGCAGGAGGCCTCGGGGGGGTGCGTGGCAGGGATGGAGAGTAGTCACTGCAGGCCTGTGCTCCGGGAAGGGCTCAACTGTGCCACCACAAAGAGCCACAACAAAGTGACCAAGCACTTATAAACCAGCCAGCCCTGACCTCAGCAGCCCCCAAGCTGAGGTTCAACCCCGCTCTTCACAGCTGGAGGAGCCTTCAAAAGACAGTTCTGCTGCAGCAAGTCACAGCCTCGTGGTCCCCCTCAAGCTCTGAACACTTTCCTGACCAGTCCTGTGTCCTCACTTCCACACAAGCCACTGTCTAGCTCCCTGCAGAACAGGGAAGAACACACACAAAGCCTTGTTACTTCTTCTGTTCCACAATCAAATGCTAATCAGGACTGACCATTTTCTGCTGCCCCTTTCTGGAGCCCAGGCCCCACCGCTGGGCTCCTCCCATGGCAGCCACCACACAACAGCCCCCTCTGCCAGACCTGTCTGCTCCCCTCTGCTGCCGAGGCACAGGGTACGGTCACCCCGGCTCAGCAGAGCACCCTGCAATAGGGCACCCCAGCACACACTGCAGCCCAGGCTACCCCAGCTTCCACACACCAAAGTGCCCACAGAGAGCACACATCATGGAAACCCCTCGAGCTGCCAGCAGCACATCAGGAAGGAGATTAACATGGATACACCACACGGGTCTGTAATGCAGGAGGCTGAGAGCAGGGTTAGAGGAGTTCCTTACCCAGGAGGGTCTCAGCACTTCCAGACAGTGAAGAATGGGGGTTTCATGCAGGGTGAAAGGGGTGCATGAGAGACCAACACACCCAGGCACCTACTTGCTGTTCTGGATAGTTACTAAAACTCTTAACACCTGATGTGATCACTGACCAACATGACAACTGCTGTTCTTCACAGTCTCCTGCAGAGATGCTTGGGGGCTGCACAGACAGGGGGGAGTGAATGTCATCTCATACCTTCCTGTATAGGGAGAGAGGCAGCTCCTACACCATAACGCCATAAGCAAGTTCCTGCTCCACACCTAATCACACCTGTCCCTAGGCATGGGACAACACACTCACTTGCATAAATCTTCATTCTTTAGGCCAAGACCACAGCCCAGTAGAACAAGCTGCTGCCAGGTACAAAAGAGGAAAATACTGAACAAACTGGGAGGTTCAAGAGAGGAAAAGCTGGTTCAGAGAAGACAGATTTAGTGTAAAAATAAATGTCATTTTTGCAGGAAGGAGGGTGGAATGGAGGAAGACGGTGCCAGGTGCTCCTACTGGCGCACTTTCCCTGGGACGTAATTCCTATCAATAGTCTCCTCTTGCAGGAACATATGTAAGCAGCGCTCGTTCTGTGCCAGGGGGTGTCCAGCAATTCTGGAACAAAATCAGATGTAGAGGTTAGCAAAGCCACCAGTGGGACACCCCCCGCTCTCCTCGCAGAGCAGCCAGCTAGAGGTGCTTGAGCACAGCGTGCTCCCCCCACCCGTCCAGCACCCACGCTGTCAGTGGGTCTCTGCAGCACAGCTGTCCTGGAACACCCATTTCACTCTCAGAAGAGAAGAGTGAGCAGAACCCACAGCCTCGGCACCGTGGTTTCGTTACCCGGCTGCAGGCACGGCACCTGCGGGCAGGCTCCATCCCGGCCAACCCACAGCCCTTGTAGCTGGAAAGGCAGCACACAGCAAAGCAGGACATGGAGCTTACTTGTTAATAAACTGTTCTAGTCCCTGTCTTCGCTCCTCAATGAAGGACTCCTCAAAGATGCCTTCGTCTCCTCGGAAGGGAAGCTGTCGTTTCAAAGCTTTCCCAGGCAGTGGTGGCACTACAATCTGAGAGCACAGACCCACCCTGTCAGCACAACGGCCAGCCACAACACTCACCTCCAGCCCCGTTATGCGTCGAGAGATCGAACCCCACCAGCTGCCCACCACCACAGCCCCTCTTCTGCGCAGGTCAAGTATTATTGCTACAACTGTCCCCATATGTCCTGGTTTCAGGAATAGGCAAGTCTGAGCCAGGCCTCACCTTACTGTCTCGTTCCAGCTCATTCTTCAGCCATTCAAAGTCACTGTATCGTCTCCTCACGCACGACTCTTTCAATTTGAAGATCGGGAGGTTTGTCTGTAACAAAAAGAAGCAGTTAATGTGCAGGTTGCTTTGGAAGCCAGACAGGATTTCAACATGCACCCGAAACCTGAAGCTGTGTTTAGAAAACCAAGCCCCCTGAGAAAGAGGCATCATGAGAACACCCAGCTGCTTTATTTAGGATGTAAGCACTGAAGCGCTTCAGAATCAAGCAAGTACTTGCCAGGCTGCTCAGAACCATCCCCTCCCCCTCAAGTGACTATTTCAGGAGCACACCCCCTCCAGGGGCACCCTGGAACGAGGGCTCACAATACAGAGAAGGCTCATTTCTTTCTTTACCCCTCAGTTCACTCCTTTTTGAGGTGATCTACAAGAGAGCGCCACACGAGCCTGCAGAGCAGAAGAACCTCAGACCCAACACTGGTATTTCCATGCAAAAGCTAAGGAAGGAAATCTTGTCCCAGCGACTGCTCAAGGTCAGCTCTCATACTACAATCCTCCCTGGGAACACATCGCCTGCCCTAACAAGCGAGCAGCTTTTTCATCTCTGGCTTGTGTCACTGGAGGAACGTGCAGCAGTTTCCACCTTTCTCCCCCGCCACTAAGGACCAAGACTGACAACTAGAGCAGCTTCAGCTCTACCCTGCCCGTGCAGCCCAGAACGTCCAAGGAACGGCGGCAGCAAGAGCTCCAAGATAAGCAGCACCCGGGTGAGCACAGGTACCGCTGCGACGTGTTTAACTGTAGTCTTATGAGGCCTGTGAAATAAAATCAGCTAATTTCAGCTTTCAAAGTGTTTCTGCAAGAGCTAGTTTTGTGGGACTAAGAGGTTCTCCCTGCCCCCTGCAAAGAACCTTTGGCTGGCTGATGGAAACCAAGAGTCTGAACAGGAAAAAGCAAACACCCAATCCTTCTGAGAGGCAGCGGGGGGTAAGCAGTTAAATCACACTATGAACAGCAGTCGGCACCAGCACTATAACATATACTAAAGGGAGTTTGTTTCAGGGGAAGCTCAATTTTACTTCTTTGCACTGTCAGAAGCAGAGCTGTGAGGAGGTCACCAGTTCAGCTTGGTTAAGGGCCAGGAAAGAGAACCCTGCGAGAAGCGCCCAGCCTCTGTGCACCCTGCGGGATCACAGGCTCTTTCTAAAATGATCAAGCTAACTTGGCGACACGGACGGTGGGACTGAGCACCCTCAGCAAGTCTGCTGATGACACCAAGCTGCGTGTGGTGGGGTTCATATGCTGGAGGGAAGGGATGGGATCCAGAGGGACATGGACAGGCTGGGAAGGTGGGACCGTGTGAACCTCATGGAGTTCAACAAGGCCAAGGGCAAGGTCCTGCCCCTGCCTCGGGGCAATCCCAGCACAAACACAGCCTGGGAGGGACTGGATGGAGCAGCCTGAGGAGAAGGACT